TATACATATGGAGATATACATATGGAGATATTGATAACTTACCATGTACCTTGCATACATATGGAGATATTGAATACTTACCATGTACCTTGCATACATATGGAAATAGTGATTACTTACCATGTACGTTGCATACATATGGAGATATTGAATACTTACCATGTACCTTGCATACATATGGAGATAGATAACTTACCATGTACCTTGTATACATATGGAGATATTGAATACTTACCATGTACCTTGTATACATATGGAGATATTGATTACTTACCATGTACCTTGCATACATATGAAGAAAATAGGCCTTGGCACTTTTACATTGCTTCACTACATGAGCTGCTCTGTCATACTCCTTCAAATCAAAGTACGCCTTGGCCAAAGTATATTTGTCAAATTCTTGCAAGAAATCCTGAAAATCCAAGTATTTATTATTACTATACATCTGACACCAAAATCCACATGCATAGAATTTACCCGCCTGTAAAAAACTGTAAAAAACTGCACGAACCTGATCAAAAGCGTTATAGGTGCATTTGATACAATACACAAACATGATATTAGCCAGGTACCTGTCTGCCTATCATTTAAGACGAGCACAAAGTTTGATTTGACAGGATAAATTTCAACTTTTAACCAGCAACTATTATCTTGCATTTCAATAGATTTTAGAAAGGTACTTTTCATTTTCTAACCCTGCACTCAAGTAGGACTGCCATGCATTAAGATGAACTAAAAAAATCAACAAATCCAAGGTATCAAAAGACGTAAAATGATATTCAGACAAGATGTTTCTGAACTTTGCATCAATAGTGTCACTACTGTAGAATTTGCAAAGGCAGTAATAATGAGCAAAATGACTTTCAATTGTTTAATTTTATCATTGAAACCATAATAAGCCATAGATGTGTTTTTGATGTTGATAATTTCTATATTTATTGATGTATGTGATTTGTTCCAATTTAATGAGTTATATGTTTATAGATGTTATACATAATTATTCTGCCCCAGTTTGTATAGAAATCGCTCGAAAACATGATTAATTTTGTACCAGTCACTGATTGGTTGACCTAAGTTTGTGTGGAAAATGCCTTAATGTTCAATTTCCCCCTTTTCAAGTTTTAGTGTAGTCTGCGCTCAACTGTGTGGGTCAGTTATTTCATCTGCGTATGCAACGTTTATGTTTTATGACATTCTACAAGTCTCCATAACTATCAGAAGTTTACATTTTTACACAATTCATTTGAAGTGTTTTGATCAGCATCAAATGGTGTTTACGTGAAACAAGTGATTGGTTTTCAAGTTGTTCGATGATTGAGAAGTCCTATCTCAAGTTGGAATGTGGCCGACCAAACCCAAACACAAATTTAAAATATAATAAGTTGACAAGAATCAAATCACAAAGTCTGATCACATAAATATCACATCACAGAGGCCAGCGTCTCTAAAACGTTTAATATTTCATTGCTCGAAAGACATCCCTCAAAAATAAAAATAATTTAGTCTGACGTAAAAAAGAACATGAACAGTTGTTCTTCCATAAAAAAACCTTGTAAAATTCACTGATTGTAGTGGTGGTATCACAAGTCTCTACATACATGCTGCTGAAAACAAAAGACCATTTTCTGTTTATTGAGAGATCCAGGAAATTGAACGCAAAAACAAGACAACAAAATATAGCTTGTTAAAAATCTTGTGGGATTGAACAAACAATTATTTGTTGGGTGGTTACATGCCTAATAATGTGCTATAACAGATTTGATTATGATTGATGAAGTAAGGATATCTCAGCGCCATGTTTCTCTCTGAAAGATCAGTATTGTGACATTCGGTTACTCGAGATCTCACAGTGAATGGATTACTGTGAAATACTTTACTTTAGCTGGAATTAATCTTCGCTGAAAAAGACTTTTTGGGTGTTTTGTATTGATTTTATTTTCACTGATTTTTGACGAGTTAAATGTAAAATATAGGAAATAAGAATATTCGCTTGATTTTATTTTCACTGAATCATTCCTTCAGTGAAAATAGCGAAATTAATTCCAAGCAAAAATAAAGTATTTTACAGTATCACAAATTAACAAAGGTGCTTGACATTGCACTAAACACATTCTACAACTTACCGG